GGCTGCAAGGAAAGCCAACATTTTGGCCCTAGCCTTCCAAGGTCAATTAAGACTCAGGACATATGAGAACTTGTACTGTAATGTCACATAACTCAGTAGTGTCCCAAATTTTCTGATCAAGGAGATTATGGGTCCAAAGAGGAAAGTGATCGATGATGTAGAGTGTGCCTAGGAGAGTCACATGGAGAGAAAACATTCTCTCAGGCTTTCACAGAGAGCACATTGGCGAAGCAATGGTCGTGACTCATCCAAATGGCTGACACTGACAAAGGATCTACAATCTGAGGTACAGGATCTCAGGATAAATCCTGAGGGGATTTCACTGACCTTATCAAACCCAAAAGCTACAACTCTTGTTGCATAGGTCTTGCTTTAGCTCAGTGGTCTAAGCACCTGCCTGGCAAGCATGGGTACCTCAGTTCAGTCCCCAGTGGTACTGCATGCTGTGCCGGCCCTGGAATCCACAGGCGTTGTGGTGCATGCCTGTAATCCCAGCACTGAGGAGGCTGAGATGGGAGGATCAGCACGAGTTGGAACTGCACTGTAGTGAGACCCTGAAATAAACAAACAAATAAATAAAACTAAAACACCCAGCGAGTCTGTGTGGGTCTGTTGACCAAGAGGCCCAGGGGGCCTTGGGAGCGCAGAAGTGGGAGACCACATCAGGACCCTTCAGCATCTGCTGTTGTGGCTGTCTTTGGTGTGTTCACCTCATGGTACAGGTCATGTGTGTGCCAGGGTGTGCCTGGGCCTGGGCGCATGCCCTGTGTTGATGGGCTTCCTTTCCATCCCCAGGGGCTGGCAGGACCATGGCGCTGCTCCCGAACCCTGCAGGACTCTGGCTGGCGGTGGCTCTGGCCGTGGCGATAGGCCTGAGCCCGGGCATGGCAGGGCCGTGGCAGGACTGCACGGGTGCCCAGTGCCCACTGCTGGAGAACTGCATCGAGGAGGCACTGGAGCCAGGCGCATGCTGCTCCACCTGCGTGCGGCACGGCTGCACCTGCGAGGGCTACCAGTACTATGACTGTGTGCAGGGTGGCTTTGTGGATGGCCAGGTGCCTGCTGGGCAGTCCTACTTCGTGGATTTCGGCAGCACCGAGTGCTCCTGCCCGCCAAGCGGTGGCAAGATCAGCTGCCAGTTCATGCTGTGCCCTGAGCTGCCGCCCAACTGCATCGAGGCTGTGGTGGCGGCTGATAGCTGCCCCCAGTGTGGTCAGGTGGGCTGTGTCCACTCTGGCCGGAAGTACCCTGCCGGCCACACTGTCCACCTGTCTGCCTGCCGGGCATGCCACTGCCCTGACGCTGGTGGGGAACTCATCTGCTATCAGCTTCCTGGCTGCCATGGGAACTTCTCGGACACTGACGAAGGGGACTCTGAGCGACACTATGAAGACCCCTACAGCTATGACCAGGAGGTGGCTGAGGGGGAGGCTGTGTCGGCACTGGTGGCTGAGGCCCAGGCAGGGGCAGGGGTTCCCCCAGCTGCCCTGGGAGGTGGCATCCAGCTGCTGTCTACCATGCAGGCGACTCCCTGGCCAGCAGCCCTACCCCGGCCGACAGCAGCTGCTGCCTTGGGTCCCCCTGCTCCTGTGCAAGCCAAAGCCAGGAGAGTGACAGAGGACACTGAAGAGGTGGAGGAAGAGGAGGAGGAGGAGGAGGAAGAAGAGGAGGAAGAAGAGGGGGAAGAGGAAAGGGAGGGGACGGAGGGAGGAGAGGCAGTAGTCACTGAACAGCCAGCAGCAGGTGACCCCCAAGTGCCGCCCACCATGGCTCCAGCCAGGCCCAGCCTTGCTGTCCAGGAGAAGGGGGAAGAAGCCAAGGCAAGGCCTGAGGAGAACCTCATCCCGGATGCACAGGCCACCCCTCGCAGTGCTGGGCAGGAAGGCCCCCAGCCCCTGCCTGGGTCAGGCCCAGCCCATGGCATCCCCTCCTGGGCTACACTGAGCCCTCCCAAGGGTCCTGTCAAACCCACCACCGACCCGATCCCTGCCATGCCACTGCACAAGGAGGCCCAGGTCCTGCCCACGCTAGTTGTGCCCAACCCCCAGCCAGTTGCACCCCGTTCCCAGGCAGAGGAGGATGCAGATCCCAACTCTGTCCATTCTGTCCCCAGGAGCAACCCTGAAGGTAAGAAGATTCTTCCCTGCTTCCTCTAGTGGTGCTGGTCACTGCCCAGGCCTGAAACATCTGGCTCCGGTGGGTGGAGGGTGGGTGAGATGAGGGCCCAGTCCTGAGATACTGAGTCCCTGGCAGGTGTCCCTCATCAAGCAGGGGTCGCATGTGGCTGGCTGGTCCAGTGAGTGTCTCAACAGGACACGTCAGGCCGTGTAGACACTGGCTCTCCTCCTCCTGCCTGGCCTGATCTGCACAGCTTCTGTCTCGGTCATTCTTCCTCACCTGGGTTCTCTGTTGCCACGCTGTTCCCAGATAGTGCCTCCCCTGGGAGGTCCACTTGGACCTCTGGGTCCCCCCACTCCCACCAGCTGTTTTCTTCTTCCCTCCTCTCAGGGAGCTCTGGGAGGTTGTTGTTTCCAGAGGTCTGTCTCTTGTCACGTGTTCTACGACCTTGCTTGGATGTCAACAGGTCAGAAGTGAGCAAGCCGGTGGCTGAAGGAGGCAAGGGTGGCCTGGGACAGTGTGGATCCCCAGGCTGCGCAGTGCAGGAAGAGAGGGGAAGCAGGGGCTCTGGGATTTCTCCAGTGTCCCAGTACTGTGTCCCACTGCCCCTGCTGCGTTGCCTCAGCTGCTCTCTAAGCCAGCTTGGACACTGATGAGCATAGTTTATGCACAGCCTATGCTAGGCTTTGCGGCAAAAGGGAGGCGATCCCAGAGCCCTTGCCTGGCGCTGGGCTGTAGCTCCCCTTTCCCTTGTTCTGAGGGCCAGCTGCTCCCCAGCTCCAGCCCATAGCCTGCTAAGCGTGCAGGGGGCTCTGATGAGGTGCGTATGTGCCTAGCCTCTGCCTTTGCATTGCTGTCTCCTGCTGCCAGGAGCCTCTGGGGCATTGGGCTTGTGATCTGGGGAACCACTTTGCTGTCAGGGATCAGGTTCACTTTTTTCTCTCCCCAGATCAGGCACTTTTAAGGATGGGGACATGGGCGTGGTCTGTGATGAAGAACCCTGGGGCTGTGTCAGAGAGGAGCCTGGGCCCAGGTGCAGCTCTACATGTACAGGGAATAGAACACATGGTGGTGGTGGGGGATGGGACCCAGGAACTAGAGCCTGGCTGATGAATGTCCTTCATTCACCCCACTGTCTTCTTTCTGACCACCCAGCATTTGCCTGTCACCCTCCACCATATATGTGCTCTGGCTCCATGACCTGCAGGTGACTGGTAGCCTTGTGCCTCAGTTTCTCTGTTAGGTGCAGAGAAGCCTGTTCTGAGGGTTAAACAAGCTCGTTCATACCCAGTGCTTGGCATGGAGCTGGGTAATTAGAAGCGTGAGCGATCGCTGTCCGCCATCTGGTCTCCAGAGGCCTTTGGGGAGCACCCTTTCTGTGCTTCCCCTGCCCTGCAGTCTTGATGGGGTGGAGGGTAATGAGCAGATAAACAGCCAAGGATGAGAAGCATGTGAGGGTGGGTGACAGGCAGTGCTGTATGCAGGGATCCAGCTGCTTGATGGAGCATCTGGATAGAGAAGTGGGATTTGGACCTGGCTGCTGTTGTAGGGGAGAGCTGGGGGCAGGCAGGTCCCCAGTTACGATGGGGCCCTGGATGGAGAAACTGGGTTGGTGGTAGGGCAAACCCTGCAGGAGGCTGTGATAGGGCCGGAAATGACCCCCTAGCTGTGTTGCCATGGCAGCCTGGGGCCAAGGGAAGGAGGTTTCCAGCCTTTGCCCAAGGCCCTGACTTGGGTTGGGGGTCCTATGTGGGAGCAGAACTGTGCCAGGGATCTGAGCCCCTCTTCAGGCCAACCTCGCCTCTGAGTGCCTCCAGATGTGGCCCTAATGCAAGCCACATGCTGGCTCCCTGGGCGGGGACAGGGAGCCTGGCGTCTATTGTCACAGGGGGGCTTGAGGAGCATAGCTTTTCCTTTTGAGGTGGCAGCTCCCACCCCTGCCATAGGGAGACCTCTTGAGTAGGTGGCCCTCAGGAAGTACTGGGGGCATCCCCCAGCCTGGACCAGGCCCCCACAACCTCTGTGTGGCAGGAAAGTAGGGCAGCATGGGACCCTTTCCTTGAGGGTGCCAGTTTCCAGATTCCCCAAGGCAGGGGTCTTTGACTGCTGGGATGCCCTGGATAGCTGAGAAACTCAGTTGCAGACACCATGTAGCACTGTAACGTGTGCTGGGCACCGTCCTGAGAACTGTGGTGATTAAGTCCTTCTACCCCAGAACAACCCTGATTGGTTTCCTGGAGTGGAAAGTGAGCTTCATAGAGCTCAGGCCACTTGCCTGTGGGTACATGGCAGCAAAGTGGTGGCACCAGGTTCCTTTGGCACCTTTGCGTGCTTTGCCCTGTCATTTCTCAGTGCCCAGGCTGCATTTGTGCTGAGCAGCTGCAGATAGAACCTGCCCTGTGGAGCTTGGGGTCTGGCAGGTGAGATCAGTCAGACAGGTGTGGAGTGCCCAGCTGTGACCCTGCTGGGGAGTGAGGCAGGGTGCATGTACTGTGCCTGCTGGTGGGATGGAGGATGGGAACAGATTCCACGCAGATGGTCCGCCATTTTCTATGGGACTTGGGCAGGCTTGGGAACCTGTGCGAGGATCCTGGAGGAAGTGGGATCTGGACCTCCAGAGCCCCTGGCAGGGCCCAGGGCGTGTTCCAGGACCTGCTTCTCAGTGGCAGTTACTGGGGCCTTAGATATCAACCCCTGATCCCTGTTGCCTTGGGAGATGCTGAGCATTCGGCGCTGCAGCTGTGCTAAGAACAATTAGGGAGGCCATGCCAAGGATACCCAGGGGAGGGGGAATTCGAGGTGGCACCACAAGCTTGGGGATAGTCACAGATGTTCACTGAGTGCTTCAGTGGTTGCCGGTCACTCTGTGTTACCATAACCACTTGTACTGTGACAGTAGAGCATTCCTACTGTGACTGAGGCAGGTCCTCAGAAGGAAACGCTGGCCCCAATATGTCACTGGGAACGTGGCAGCCATGCTGGTGGAGATGCAGCCTATTAGATATCCTGGGGGCCTGGGAATGAGGCAGGGAAAGGGCTCACTATCTGCCAAACTCTGAAAATACCATAGAAAAGCCTCTGGCCTGGAAGCCATTTGTCCCCTCCATACAGTGGGCTTCCTTTGTGGCTTCTCTGGATCACCACTGAGCAGATCTGCAGCACGGTTGTCCTGAGCAAATGACTGGGACCCAGCTGCCAGCCAAGTGGGCTGGTGCTGACACTAAGGTGAGCACAGACTGAGGCTTCCAAATCCATAAGCCCAAGCAGTGCTTCTTTAAATTGATTTTTTTTCGGATGTTTTGTTCCAGTGATGAGAAGCTGACACCCACAGAACCCCTGCCCGTGCTCACTGTGGTGGTGCATGCCTGTAGCCCCAGAACTCTGGACGCTGAGGCAGGATAATCACTGAGAGTTCAAGACTGGCTTAGGCTACATAGTAAGTTCAAGGCCACCTGCACCACATAGAGAGACACTGTCCCAAAAAGTGAAAAGGAGGGATACCTTTCTTAAGGGCAGAAACATGAGCCCTACCCACAGCCCAGGGTTCTGAGCTGGGCCCACACAGATCTTCTGGGACCTTAACGTTATATTTCTGGTCTGGTTCCTGGTGCCCAGGGTGGATGCTGGTCTGTTTTCTGGCTCACTGTGTCACCACTGGGCCCATTGCTTGATTGGCCTGGGCCTGGACAACTGCTTCCACAAGAGGACTTGCACCAGCTGTCTTCTCTGTTTGAAGAAGCCCACATCTTGCACTGTGTATTGGGCCTGCCACACAGCAGGGCTCTGCTCACAGCTAGTGCTCGGGGGCACTGCTGAGGCTGGGCCATGTTTGATATTCTTGGCCTCTGTGCCCAAGGCCTTGCAGAATCTGGGAGGCCTTAAGCTCTGAGCTGTGGCCTCTTTGTTGTTAGCACATCTGCTTGTCAGCATTGCCTAGGCTGGGCCAGGCTTGGTGGACTCTGGCTTCTGTGTGCTGCAGCACTCAGAGTTATCAGGGAGGTTTCCCTGTGGCTGAGGTCAGCACGACATGGGCCAGCTCCTTTCTGGGACCTTCATCCCACGGCCATGCTGGAAAAGGTGGCTTGGGCCAAATCATAGCCTGGCTCTCAAGAGAGTGAATTCCCGCCTTTGCCTCCCCAGCTGCGTGACCTCAGGCATGTGACGCACCCTCTCTTAGCCTCAGTTTCGACCTCCTAAGATGTTGGTGGTAATCTCAGGATTACTGGGAGGATGGGGAAGATCTGAGCTGGCCCAGAGCAGCACCCAGGTCCACAAGTCCCCTTCCTTTCCCTGTCAGGGAGTCACTGGGTTCAGGCTCTGGTGGGGGGTTGGGTTTGTGTTTGTGTTCAAGTGAACAAATGTGTGACTTTTCTGTGGGTCAGAAGCTGTTGAAAGAGCCAAGGGCCAGGCCTGCTGGGGCTGGGTGGGAGGTGCTCAGTGCGCGCTTCCTGCCCCGCCCAGGGTCTGTCAAGCAGCTGCGTCTCCAGTTCTCCACTGCTCCTTTCTCCCTCCAGCCTCTGCCAGCCAAGTCAGCAAAGGCCCAGTGGACACCCTGTGGACCAGGCAGGGGTGCCTACTCCACTGTCTGCATGCCAGTGGCTTTCTGTGTTACCACATAGGGCCAGCGTGGGGTACCAGGTGTTTGTTCACGCCTGTCTTGGCATCTGTCCACGAAGCCTCATGATGCTCCTTGTGACACTTCCACAAGGGGGTGGGAGGCACCATTGTGCCCAATCAGGGAACTGAGGCCCAGGGGGGTCACTGGCCTGTGACAGGCAGGGCAAGCATGCAGGCACAGGCTCAGGGGACTGGGAGAGTTGGGGCAGTGGAGAGGCTCACTGGAGGGAGGGGCCATGGGGCTGATGGGTGCCAGGGACAGGCGCCTTGAGCCCTGGAGCAGCAGCTGCCGAGCCTGAGGGCTCTGGATGCCTGGTGTGGCCCATAACTTTGGATTTTCCAAAAGAAGCCTGAGATCTGGAACTGTACACAAAAGCTCCTAATTTGTGCAT